ATACCTGTTCCTCGCAATCTTTGTGAGTGATCGTTTCTAACCAAACCTGAGATCAGTTAGGAGCAAAACGCCGAAAAACCAGTGAAATTTTGACTAGAGTTTTTCTACTATTTTGTCGGCGATTAATTAATCCCGAATTTGGCCTGAATGCGCGTTTCATCAAACTGATCATTAATTGTCTGGCGTTTTCTTTTATTATTTACCGAAGAACTTCAATTTTCCCGTACTGCACAAACTACATGTTGTACACAGAAAAGAAAACAACAAATCGATATTTCTTTCGGTGTTGGTATGATTGTTGATGACGATAATGGTTTGTTTGTTATATCTGAATTTATTTCATTTTGGCATCTCTGACTTGTGAAACCGGCCTAAAAACGGCCAGTTAACTGGTCATTAACGGCCTATTTACGGTCAAAAGCATCTATGCTGATGTATCTGAAAAACCGCCTAAAAACGGTGCGTTAACTGGCGACTAGCATCTAGGCCGTTAATGGCCAGTTAACAGACCGTTTTTAGGCCGCTATCACATACATGACTACAGATGCTTTTGACTGTAAATAGGCCATTAACACCTAGATAACGAACCGGTTTTCGGCCGTTTTCCACATACATCACCACCCCTACCTTTTGTAAATAGTCAAGTGCACTATCATATAGCTTCAAACAATATCCGGATACTTTCCCGACAGACTTTGTTTAAGTATATCAAACGCCTTTTTCTAATAGTCATGAGCATTGTCGCAGTCACCTTTGTTTTGATATGCTAATCCAACATTCTTGTAGCTTGTTGCAGTATGTGGATGCTTTTCAGAGAGAGTTTCTTTCCGAATATCAAGTGCCTTTTTGTAAATAGTCAAGTGCAATATCATAATCACCTTTGTCTCCAGATACTGATTCAGTATTATTGTAGCTTGTTGCCATATTTCGATGCTTTTCAGGTAGAGTTTTCCTCGAAATATCAAGTGCCTTTTCGTAATAGTCATCTGCGTTGTCATAGTCATCTTTGTCTTGATACCATACTCCAATATTGTTGTAGATTTTAGCAATATCTGGATGCTTTTCAGGTAGAGTTTCTTTCCAAATATCCAGTGCCTTTTGGAAATAGTCAAGTGCATTATCGTAATCCCCTCTGTCTCGATATACTGATCCAATATTACCGTAGCTTGTTGCAATATCTGGATGCTTTTCAGGTAGAGTTTCTTTCCAAATATCAAGCGCCATATTCTAATAGTCATGGGCATTATCATAATCACATTTGATGTGATATGCTAATCCAATACTATTGTAGCATTTTGCAATACGTGGATGCCTTTCAGGCAGAGTTTCTTTCCAAATATCCAGTGCCTTTTGTAAATAGTCAAGCGCATTATCACAATCACCTTTATTCTGATATGTTAATCCAACAGTACTGTAGCTTCTTGCAATATCTGGATGCTTTTCAGGTAGAGTTTCTTTCCAAATATCCAGGGCCTTTTGGAAATAGTCAAGTGCAGTATCATAATCACGTTTGTCTTCATATACTGATCCAATATCGTTGTAGCTTTTTGCAATATCTGCAAGTTTTTCAGGCACAGTTTGTTTCCGATTATCAAGTGCCTTTTGTAAATGGTCAAGTGCATTATCATAATCACCTTTGTCTCGATATACTGATGCAATATTATTGTAGCTTGTTGCAATATCTAGATGCTTTTGCGGTAGAGTTTCTCTCCAAATATCCAGTGCCTTTTGGAAATAGTCAAGTGCATTATCATAATCACGTTTGTCTCGATATACTGATCCAATATTATTGTAGCTTGTTGCAATATGTGGATGGTTTTCAGGCAGAGTTTCTTTCCATATATCAACTGCCTTATTGCAATAGTGATGTGCATTATCATAGTCACCTTTATTTTGATATATTGATCCTATATTGTTGTAGGTTGTTGCAATATCTGGATGCTTTTCAGGCAGAGTTTCTTTGCATATATCTAGTGCCTTATTGCAATAGTCATGTGCATTATCATAGTCACCTTTGTTGTGGTATACTATTCCAATGTTGTTGTAGGTTTTTGCAATCGCTGGATGCTTTTCAGGCAGAGTTTCTTTGCATATGTGAAGTGCCTTACTGTAATAGTCAAGTGCATTGTCATAGTCACCTTTGTTGTGGTATACTAATCCAATGTTGAGGTAGCTTTTTGCAATATTTGAATGTTTTTCAGGTAGAGTTTCTTTCCATATGTGAAGGGCCTTACTGTAATAGTCAAGTGCATTGTCATAGTCACCTTTCTTGTGGTATACTAATCCAATGTTGTTGTAGCTTTTTGCAATATCGGGATGGTTTTCAGGTAGAGTTTCTTTCCATATATCAAGTGCCTTGTTGTAAGTGTCAAGCGCACCGATGTAGTCTCCCTTCTCTCGTAGGAGTTGTCCCAGGAGAAATAACGTTTCATTGCTTGATTCTGCAGTTTCTTTGTCTATAGGTTTATTTTCGCTAAAATGTCGTGCTATAAATATTTCCGCCTTGTGGATCTGTCCGGCTTCTAGTAGTAACGAGGCAAATAGCGGTAAGTTATTCATAGAACTTCTTTCTAACATACATATTTTGATGTAGTGTTGTCCGACCATAAAATCTTTTTCACGAGATGATAAACGCACTCGCCACATTTTGTCTGTATGATCATATTTAACGTGGTCAATTTTGAATATTGCACCAGGATTAAAAAGAACTTCTCTGCCTTCGTTCATTGCACTAATCTCTGTTATCTCAGCAAAGGCTGTTGTGTTAACGTTTATATCGATTTTATATGTGAATAGAACTGGTGTTAAATCAGTACTTCCGAACTGTCCGTGTAGAAAACTTAATGCTAGTTTTTCGTCTGGACTTGTAGACAAGAACCCGTTGAAGGAAATGAGTTGACCGGTATTTGATTTTAAGACTTCGATATCATGATTACCTACACCTGCACCACGATAGACTGTAATTTCAGACAAACCCCATTCGTCGCGATATAGCGTTAGTTGATCTGTGTAAAGTTGATTTAATTGTTCTGCTAAATCTTTTATAAATGCACGATAATTATATATTTCGTCTATTTGTTCTTGACGAAATATGCGGTTTACGATTTTATAAATACACGTTTCTTTTGTGTACCATGTCACTGCACTTTCATCTTTTTCGTTTTTATCGAATTCGTCAATAATCTTGCGCTGTGTTTCATTATCATGGTAATGTTTTCTTAATGTTTCAATCATTTCAAGTTTTGCTTTTGGTTCTGGAGGTAATTGAATCAATGTATCAATGAGAAGTCGTGCCCATTTGAAGTCAGCTGTCTTGTTCTCAACATCGACTATCGATTTTTGAATCAATAAAGTTTGTTGATATTGACGAATGTATGGTTTGAGTGATTCGAGAAGTTTTTCAGTTTGTGTAAAAATATTGTTGTTTACTTTCATATAGTTTTTTGTCCATTCAATATGACTGGCTTCATTGAGACAAAATACATAAATGCGTTTTATTTGTGTCAAGTCATGAATATTTGGTACAATATGTTGTCCATACGTTCCAGATACAACGATGACGATGTTTTCATGTTCATGTGATCGAATGTAATTTTCACATTCATTTAGATCAACATAGGTTTTGAGATCATCAACAGCTTGACGAAGTTTTGATATTTGTCTAGAATCGTTTATGTCTTTATCTAATGTTTTATCGAGCCATATTAAAGTAAAATCTTCTTTATTAATCTTGTTTGAGTATGGATCATTGAAAAGATGAGACTTTGTATTTGATGATGTAATTTCGCTCAACTTATTATTGTTCATGTAGATGAGAGATTTAGTTGGTTAAACTAAAAGACAAAAGGACTTTATATCATAAGTCGGTTGTGTTTGATAAACAATATATGTGATTTAGTATATAACATTTGGCTCAATAGTTTTTCTTCACTATGTTTGATCACAGTAACATTCTTAGAGTGCCATCTAAATATTATTGATGACTTTTCGAAAACCTTATTAGAATAAAATTAATGTATTGCAAAACAGTTGCAATACAAAATGCTCAGCCTGCAGATAAGCATTAAATCACACATTTTGTTTTTTGGTAAATTCTCTGAACTCTATGGCGAAAGAGTAGTTATAAAGGTATTAAATGAATAGTCTTTATGATTATTCAAATAACACATTAAAAAAAAGACATTTGTATATCGTTCTCGATCTTCTTTTCATTCTTTCGACAAGAGGCTTACTGGATCACATTTAGAATAAAATTTATTGGGAACTGAGGAGTAGTAATATATTGACAGTTTTATATCAGCTTGTGACGTGTTGTTCAATCAATTAAGAAACTTAATTGTCATGTTTCTCGAAAAATATTTGACTATTTTTACCAAGATGAAAGAAAATTCTAATATAGTGTGGAAATTCTTTACAATGACTGGTATTTATCAAGTATTTATCTTATGCTTTAGAATTGATTTGCCAAGCACTTTATATTATGTACAGTATAAAAATAACCAATATTTATAACGTCTCTGCAGGATGCTAGAATTATAAATGCAATGATAGGTTTCATACAAATAATAATAGTGTTTTATGATAGATGACATAGCATGTGTAATGAACAATGACGGACTACGTTGAGGTATGTATATACATATGAGTGATTCTAGTGTCTATTGTACTGTCTTTTTTACAAAACTGGTCGAAAAAAAGTGAACGGCTGCACTTAAAAGTGTCATCATCTGACAGATAATGTTTTGAAGTATAAGAAAAAGTGGTTTTGCAAACTACCAATTTATTCCTTTGTCTGGTTTAGAGACCAAAAGATTTCTAGGAACTTAATTAAGGGATTGTTTATCTTATTTCAGTGAACGATGATGGTATCTACAGGTAATAACATGACCTCATGGGTTTCGAAACGTTTCCTATCGAGTAACATACCTAGAAGAAGCACAAAAATAATCAATTTTAGGCAAATTCTTTTTTTCAGATTTTCAGTTGGGTAGGAGGGTAATACAATTTAGAGAATGGGATACCATGGTATTTTTTAATAAACTTCTTCAGGAATGAGTTAGAACCTTGATATTTACAACATAGGCTACGACCACTAACTGCCATTTATGGTGAAAAAATCAGCTCTTAACTCCTTATAGTTCGGTTAGGAGATAGGCGTAGGGATGGGACATTAGAAAAAGGTCATTTTTCTGTAATTTTTAGTTTTGTTTTCTTCAGGAATAAGTTAGAACTTTGATATTTAGAATATAAGCTACGACCACCAATTGTCATTGATGGTGAAAAAATCAGCTCTTAACTCCATATAGTCCGATCAGGAAATGGGTATAAGGGGTGGGACAAATTGTGTGTCGCACACCAGTGGATTCCATTAAGATATAAATTTTTCAAAAGCGACAAAAGGTAGTAACTTGTAGTTTTCAGCAGTCGAAAACGACCAAACCAATAAATCTTTTTATGGAGAACGATTTGTCTTAAGGTGTTTGTTGGCTTCATACTAGACTCAAAGGGAGTGGGACACGTTTTTCCTTGTTTTCCAAAACCATTGACAGAATGTCAAATTTCTCTGATACGACGACAGCTAAAGTGAAAATAAGGTTATGCATAGATAGAGCATTCAAAAATGATATAGGAAAGCTAATTAAACATGCTTTACTATTTTTATTTGAAACCGAAAAAAAGGAAAGAAGAAAAGGAAAATATAAGGAACAATCATAAAAACTCATGAAATAGGCGAAAAAACTAGTTTATTTTCTAAACCATTCGCAAACGACAAAAGGTAGAAACCTGATTCTACCAGCATAAATTGAGCATGATTGATAGATACTGCAGTATTAATTTCGAGTGGTTTGAGTGAATAAGAGCTGAGATATAGACAAGGCCATTTTTGGTGGTCAAACGGTACAATAGCCATCAGCATTACTCGTACATACTATAGCCAGACTATTATAAATCCATACTAAAAAAATTCAGTTTTAGTATATCTAAGGGCTTCTTCTCTTAATCAAATTTTAAAGCTGTATCTATATGGTCACGATCTCGAAAGAGTTAAATAATTATTATCTTAGTATATTTGATATAGTATTACAACTTTAAATCATTGTAACTCTAGTAAAAAGACATATGGGTACAAACCAAGTCAGGCTTTTAATCCATATGATACACCATATGTATTACCAAAATTTCAGAAAAATCAAAATGAAATGCTTGCGATCTTTCATTATTAGCAAACGTTTCTACGGACTGTTTTCCATGAGCCTGCAATCATCACTGTAAAATTATATGTATACGGTAACCAAGTGTGTATCCAGTTTTGGCTGCTAAAAACAAACAGTTATATTATTATTTTTGAAGATATTTTAGAAAATCTATAACATTACAAACAATAGATTTTTCTCAATCTATTGGTAAAATTTCAATCTCTATACTGTAAAAAAAGTGCCTTAAAATAAAACTTCATGAACCTTAAAGTAAGATTCTTCTAATAATAGGATCTATAAAAGGTCTTATTTTCGCAACTAATTTGTCATCCCGCGAGACCTCAAATATAAGACGCTTTTTTTTCTTGGTGACAAGTATTTCTAGCACAAGTCGTACGAAACATTTTTATGAAATTTTGTAATGTAATTATACGAAAGTAATAAACTTTGATTACCTTAAAACAATAACCACAATTGTTTTCAAAGTTGTGTTTAATATATTTTGTAGAATAAATGCTTTTTATAAATGAAAATAATTAAAGATTCGTAATACGAATTTTGAAATAATGACAATGATGACGATAAGAATTGTATATGTTGAAAAAACCTTGAATGATGATGAACTTTTCCCGATGAAAAAAGAATTAGTATAATAACGATAAAGTTCAAAAATATTATTTTTGTTTAGTGATCGCAAAAAAGTAATGCGAAAAAAAACTCTTCTTTTATTCGTTACTAATGACCTTACCTTCACTTCCATACGTGTATTTATATAGTCATTTAAAAATGATATCAAGCAACAGTTTTCAGTGTAACACCCATATCTCATATTTATTTTTTTTATCACATTTTTTTTTTGGCTAGAAAAAAATATTACCTTTCATTATAAGATTTTTCCAACTATATAAAATTCTTATCATCATCGTCATTACTTCAAAATACAAAGATACCCAGAACGATGATCATCTACCATAAGTATAGATCTTTAAAAAGGCCAGAATAAAAATGTTATTATTGGGAAAGATATTTATAGTAAATGTTTTTCACATTATTCACATATTCTTCATTCGGTCAAATTGTCTTTTGTCGTTTTTAAAAAAAGAAGTACAGGCAAAGTTTTTCATTGATACACTTTTATGTACTCATAATACCTTATATAAAAGCGATAACTGATAAAAGAAAATAATTACAATCAAATTGTAAAGTGCAAGTAATTCAAAAATCGACTAAATTTTTTTTCTTTAATATTTTTACATGCTTCCATAGAGCTTCTCGAACTCTACAAAACTGTCTATATTAAAAAATTTTAAACCAATTGTTATAGTGTGATTCACTTATGTTGGATATTTGTTCCTTTCCTTTTCTTTATTCTATCATCGTATAGATGACACATACGATATAAGTTTACATATTTATCTTTTCTTTCTGTTACTTGGATCCTCTTCTCTTGATGTTGTTCAGATATTTTCCCTCTCGTTCATATTTCTTTCCCACTGCATTTGGTTTATTGCTCACGCGTTCACTATATATGTGCCAATTTGGAAAATAGACGTTTTATTTTCGATCAGTCAGATCGATATGACACGTTAACACTGTTCTTTTTTGTGTTAAAATTCCTAAAAAATCATCTAAATTATATACAAAAATATTCGCATTTTTTACATTTTTTTGTATGGAAAAAAAGTCTGCTTTTCAATAAATTCAGCTATTTGCCATCAGTATTCTTATGTAAGAAGTTTGAAAAAATGCTCATTCGATGCGGCGTGAAAAACTGTATATACTACAGGGTCCCAAATGAAACAATCTCATCCCATCCCATAGGATGGGATATGATAACCTTTTTGTCCCATAGGATTTTCTTCTTTTGGTCTCATGAAAAGACCCATGTTTTTTGTCATTGAAAGATGGTTGCAGCAAAGCACTTAAAAGAATTGCTGAATAATGGAATTTGTTATACCGCCATTGCTGACTTATCCTTCCACAGTGGGCATTTAGGCGGCTTTTTTCTGAAAAAATCGTAGGCACGAAATTTTCTGTTTTGAATAGCGGTATATATAGTGTAAACAATGCCCTATTTAACAGTGAAAAAATTTTTGTTCTAGCTGCTTCCAAAGTGGAGAAAACCAAGTTACAAAATTACTAGCGGA